TGGTGACTTGTCACTTGATGAGAGTGGCTTTGTACCACTTGGTGAAAGTTCCTCGAATTTGGGGGGCCATGTATTAACAGCATGAATTGGGCAATTCTTTGGATCATTATCCATGATTTCAGATGTGATGGATTCTGATAAAGAAAGTTCAGTAGAATTTTCACAGAATATGTTGTTGAGATGGTCGTGGACAATAGACTTAATGGAATTTATTTCTCTTTCTTCTCTGTCATCTCTTGGGTGTTTGACAACATTGAAAATATTCAGCTTAAGTGTTATATTTCCAAAGGTTAATTTCATGACCCCATTCTTACAATTGATTAGTGCATTTGAAGTTGCTAGGAAGGGTCGACCAAGAATAACAGGAATTAGATTCTCTGAATATTGTGCTAGCTGAGTATCTAAGATGATGAAGTCAACATGGAATACAAAGTAGTCCACTTGAACAAGTACATCTTCAACAATGCCCCTAAAAATTTTGACAGACCTATCTGCCAACTGAAGTGTGACACTTGTGGGTTTGAGTTCCCCCAGACCTAACTGTTGGTAAATAGAGAATGGGAGCAAATTGACACTTGCTCCAAGGTCTAACATTGCTTGTTCGATTCTAAAATTTCCAATGACACATGACACAGTTGGACACCTTGGATCTTTGTATTTTGGAGGGATTTTGTGTTGAAGCAACGCACTGGCATGTTCTATCAAAAATGGACTCTATCATGAAGTTGCATCCAAACCCACAACACTAACAAATGAAGTTTTTTCCCTTTCTTCGCTCTCTCTCCTTTCCAACTCTTTTCCCCATCTTTATACCCCCCAAAACAAATTACTCAGCACCTCCCCAAGCACATGTGCCCTTCATGCAACAAGAGGGAGCTCGAACTAACAGCTTGCCAAGCTAGAAGAGTGGAGATGTTTCCAATGGAGATTTGGTAATTACTCTTTAGGCAAAATTTCAAAATTTTAATTAAAAATATTTTTTTCTAAAATTACACATTCATTAAATTAAGCACTAAAAAATTATTAATTTAATTTTAGGACATCAAATTGATCTCCAATTTGATCCACTAATGCGACTTGTGCACCCCTAACAATCCGATTTGCGCTAACCCTAACTCACCCGCTTGCACATCCCAGCTCGTTTTCTCTCCACATATCACATTCATACCCTAAATTAACATCCTACACACTACCATGACACCTACGCATACACTTCCGACTATCAATTCATAGTCCAACTATCTGATCTCTAAACCACTCACTTCTTTCCTAATTATTGATCTCCAAATAGGTCGTTACATCGTCAATGAATCTCGGGACTACCATTCCAACACTTCTTGTGTCAAAACGATGTGCAATCGACATTCTTAGGAACATCCCCTATCCCTTTTCCTTTTAGTCGAATCTCATGATGTCAATGGGCCCAATTGTTACTTATCATTAATGCTTTGCCCCGAGCATTGAATGCTTCGAAGGATTAATTTATTCTTCCCCAAGTCGAAACCCGTTGGCACTCAGCATCTGCATCTGCATCTGCATCTTTTTTCCTCCACGTGTCTCTTTCCTGTTGAGTCGTATATCATGTCTTGTCAGTAACAATTTTTCGAAAGGTGTAAAAATATTTGCATGGTAGTAAAAAAAAATGTATGGTACTAAAAAATAGTTTTAGACACCATAGTCGTACTTACTATTTGATTGTAGGTCATGCATTGAATACAAACTTCATCTTTGACTTGTATTAGAGGTCCATGGAAGAGCCTACCACAATTTTCACCTCAGCGCTTAGATGGTCATCAACCCCGACTAATGTAACTAACAACCTACGAAGATTGAGGTCTTTGGGTGCCTAACAAATCATCATACAAACGGGATCGCCGAAATCAGAAGTGAAATCAAAGTCACCCATCAAAAACTTTCAGTAAAGTTCCTAAAAAGTCAAGAAATAAATGAATATTTTTGCTTGGGATGAGAGAGAGCGAGAGAGCAGAATCTCATGAGTACACTGTTTTGGAAACTTGGTGAGGGAGGTAACTTGAAGGAGTACATAATTTCCAAATCTGATAACCAACCCTTTTCCTTTTATGGAGATTTCTTCAAAGAAAACACAATTACCAAATATGATCACCCCCACTTTTTCCATTTTTGAAGGGGGTAAATTACGTGACAACCGTATTCAAGAGATTGACAAAAACAAGACATGGTGACTGTTGAGGGAAGTCTGACTTAGATTTGCTTCCCTTAACAAAACCAAACAAAAGCCAAGTGTGTTACATAAAGAGAATATTATTACTCAGCGAAAAGAGAAAGTCAGAGAGAGAGAGAGAGGGTAAAAAGTGATTCTTACTAGACCATTAATACCTTCTCTTCTTTCCACGTTCATCAAAGCGCTCGTGGATTTCTTAGCATTTTGTATTCCAGATGGGATTGGACAAATGATCTGAAGCCCTGTTTGTGTCATACATACTGCATTGCAACATGATGTAACTTCTTCTTCTTTTTTTTTTTTTTTTTTTTT